TACAGTGAAATGGCAATGGGCTAGCTATATAACTTGGAAAATATATAAAAAATAGGAAGAAAGGTCCTCGAGTGGCAACCTCGTACAGGTAAGCGAATTAGTACTCGACCTTTATTCCTCTTCACGTATTCTCATACGCTTTTCTTCACACATACACACACACACACACACGCACACGCGCGCAAGCACGCACGCGCGCACACACACACACACACACACACACACAAATAGGTCGCAAATATTACTTACCTAGTACTATTAGGCAAGAGTGAATAGGTTTTTGTTAAGTCAGTGCAATTCACCATCTTAGACTACATAACCACTTACCGATGGGATTGTAGTTGCTTTACTTCTTGCTGGGTAAAATAGTAAAAAAAAAATTTACCCTGTGAAAGTTTGCATTTAGATATAATTTTTCTAACCAACCATAAAAATATGATAAGAATATGTATATAAGTATAAAGGTTACCTCACACGGAACAGTAATAATATAATATTATATCTTCCATTATCTCTGAAATCCGAGGTATGTTCATATTAAGAGGCTGAATAGAGCCACATTGAAATGCATGGGGATGGTTTTGTAATTTCACGTCATTATCGATAAAAAATTGTACGTATTTCAGGTGGCGGTTTGCAAAACACGATTCCACAAAAATTAACTCAATAGAAAATAATTGCAAAGTTGCTTCTAAAAATACATAAATTTTCAACGTCAATTTTTTTTACGTGGTAGAGCCATGCTACAGCTATATTTATTAGGTATAGTTGTAGCACGAATGGGTCGGCTCGACCGGGGATGGGCCACGCTCTCACGGAATAACATGTAAAATAGCAGTTTAACCCTGCTGTGTTTCGTATGGTGAGTGTAGATAACCGGAGGACCTTTTTACTGGAAACGAGGAATTACATCTTAGTCCTCACGGGTGACAACGCATCTACATTTTGATACGTAATCGAGGATAGATGTAGATGTGTATGGGCCGTAGCAACCACTTACCATCAGGTGGACTGTGTGCTCGTTTGTCACCCTTATTCTATTAAAAAAACTTTCTGCGATTTCAGTAAAATAATGTTAAGTATTGTAAGCACTCGTACAATTATGTCTCATGTTAATAAAGCTATTGGGCTATTTTGATTTGTAATAAAGTGATTTTACTTTATAGGTTAAATAATTTATTTACCTTTCTATATCAAGAACCGTTTTTCTGTCACTCCTATTGAATTTGACAGTGCTTGCTGAAATTTAGCATCTTTAGATGGATCAGAATCGCCCGCTGATTCGGCTGTTAGATATTGCAAAAATAATCGAAAATATTTATTTTTACTTTCATGCCCAAGACTACCTTGTTTTATTTTATTACGGTCAAATAATATTTATAAGGTTATAAAGCAAGTATTTTTGTAAATGTTTTGTATGTAAATGTAAATGTTTTCATTATTTTGTTATTCTATTGTTTACAGTTATTATCACGTCTTAGCTTTATACCAAGAATTACATTACAAATCCTTGATGGGATGCGATGTAACGCGCATACATTATTTTCATCAAGAACTATAATATATATATATATATATATATTTGTTTTTTTTACCAATAGAGTTTTAACACAATCTTAAAAAAGTTCAATAAATTAAAAAAATGCCAATAATTATATAATTTCAAGTCAGTGTTTTACATTTAAAGATCAGTTATAAAAAGCCATTGTTATTATTTTCATTTTGATTAATTTAATTCGAGACTAAAATTAATGTGAAAGGGCTTTTATCTGCAATAATAATTTTCATCAAAAATAACATAGACTTATAAAAGTCATATACACGGTCAATCATACTGAAGATTATCAATTGTACTACAAAATATTTAAAAGACTATTTCCAGTATAATGACCCGAATATCATCATTAATGTTTGACTGGCACACTTAAAAGTTTTATCACATGGCTAAATGATTGACTTTTATATTATGATAAGATCATGCTTTTCTATAAAAAGTTGCAAGAAATTTTAATTCCCGGCCCTATTGGTTTGTTTTACTTTTTACTTAATTAGTGAAAAACAAAATGGACTGATCTAAAAGTTTACATTCTTGTGTAAAAAGTGCTATTTATAATTTTATGCAAATGATAATTAAAGTTTCTATGTAAATAAGTGTAACATAGCGGAAATTATATTCAATGGTAGCGGCCATCCGTATTTGCAAAGCCAGCATCATTTTCTGTACAGAAACCGGCAAAGTGTTGCTCAAGGCACTATAAACAAAGCAGCTGATAAAATGTTACACTCATAACTGTTAACAAAAACTGTTTTCCCAAATGGTCTTATAGATAATAATAACTATTCCGCCGTGTTAGGTGCAGGAGCTATTATTAGAAGGAGAAGAGGTAAAATTTTGTTTTAGAAATTTTGTTTTAGAAATTGTTTTGTCTGCAATTGAGCATAAAATAAAAAATTACTTCGGCCAAAGAGCATAACTGGCATTATACTCAGGCCCATCAATTAGTATGGAAAAAAGTAATTTTACCAGGTTTCAAAATATCAATCAAAATTCAAAAACCATAAATATTAAAATCAAAAAATGAATATATGTATGTCTATACATACATATAATGATTTATGGCCGCTTAGTAACTGACGGTGACTCACTATAACATCCTACAGTCACGCCGAAACTAAGAGGAGAGAATCACTGTAGAAAAGGTAATAATTTATTGCGGAAATTTTGTGATAAAATTAAAAAAAATATAAACTTATCCAAGTTAATCTAACTTAGTCTAATTTATCCTTATGCGTACAAAAAAAAACAAATAATAAAATAGTGAGATGGCGTCAGTTTTTAAGAAGATATAACAAAAATAAATAAAAAAATAAATTTCAATAAAGTTCAGTATTTAATTGATTATATACCGCTGACACTTAATCACGCTTTTCGAAACCACGCCAGTTGTAAACAATACTTGTGTGAAAAGACAAAATCTTCTTTTCAAATTTCCGCCGAGTTGTAAGTAGAAGGCCAAATAGGTCACGTGTCAATTTTAATTAAATATATTTTATATGAAGTGATCTTGACTACGTTTCATCAATTAACCATTGGTAAAAATTAAAACAGGAATTTTACGATTGTGTTTACAAAAAACATTATTAGTTGAACCTTGCAGCTTGTTCATTATTTTTATTATAAATACCTATAAATGTATATATTATTAATAAATAGTTCCCATAATATATTGGATTATTTTTTATTTTGCCCTATCTGCAATGTTCTACGCTCTATAGAAAATGTGGCGTATGACATGACTGACAATCTTTCGAACGTTTTATCTAGGTACAAAGATGTTTTACGTTTTTGTCGCCTCCACACGATATTTTTGTCAGCATAAGGTACCCTTCTATATCTGCAACGAATATAAATATTGCTACAAAGTAATAGGCTATACAAGTCCCTGTACTGGGCACAGGACTCTTTTTTTATTTCTGAGAGGGTTTTAGGGCAAGGAAATGCCCGCCATGCTCCCCCAATGCGTGTTGACGAAAATTGCAATTACAAATTTAATTCGTGCTGTCGGGGATCAAACCCGGGAAAATTTACAGCGAACGCTTTGACGACATATTTTTAATACGACACAAATAAATACGATTTAATATATATAATAAAAATTCTTACGTACTTGAAACTTGAACACTTGATAGCTCGTGATGCCTACCGGACAAAGCTACAGCACCACACCGTGCAATGTAATTGAAGATGCGTAACCCCGACATAATTTTCAGTGATGCGCAAGCATAACAGGCAGTATGTCACTTATATAATTGTCATCTCTGCAGTCTATTAATCTTTGCACTTTTATAAGTAATACAGAACGTAGTTGCTAGACGGTGTTGACATCGGCAAAAATCTCTGCGATCGCCGTTTCGTTAAGGTCATTCAGGCTAGTTAAAGCCTTAAATATTGTTGAGTTGTATTCTAAGGTATTTAAATTATCTTTGCTAGAGATTACCTCTATTGTCTTATTATCTAATTAAAATTACTTGTAACATATGTCAAAATTTTTCACTGTCAAAAGCTACGTATATTTATATTATTTTATTTTGTTATTTGGAGGCCAATTCTGGCTTACAAATTTCAACAAAAAGATCAGAAAATATATAAGAGAGTTGTTATAATAATATTTTTTGGATTTCAGACCTAATACTAATTAATAAAGAAAAATATTTCTGCTGCGCCGTTGACAACTGTCAAAGCGTAACGACTATTCATACAATGTTTATAAATATGGAATAAATCCAGGGAAGTAATGTAATAATATTTCATTTATAGAGTAAAGTGCTTTTATTTAGGCCGTAAATGATTGTTTCAGGGAAAGATGCGGGGTACAGCACATTTCAAGTTAATATGAATATGCAATATACTTTTGAGTGTTGTAGAGATCTGTTTAGATTTTTTAATGAATATCTCTGCTCCTCTACATTCACAGCCGGATTTCCTACAGTGTCAAAATTGTGCTGACGGTAGGCTGTTTAAAGGTAAAAGGGGATTAAATATTCATATTAAATGTTGTAGATTCAAGTAGGTTATTAGTCAGAGAAAAATACTGGCAGCTATTGCCTATGGTTATACAATATATATATATATATATATATATATATATATATATATATATATATATATATATATATATATATATTACTTTTTATTCTGACTTTGATCCATGATGTTTTAAAAAATGAAAAAGTAACGATAGGATGTTTTAATGGACATGAAGAAAAAAATATTATAATTAATAACTGTTTTAACTTGTTGTCTTGGTTATATTGATTAAAGTAATTAACAAAGAAAAGTCTTTAATTGCAACTATCACATATGGCGACCGTGAGGCAAAGAATTTAACTTATTAAAAGTCCGGAATGTCCGCTGTAGTTTGTGCTCAAATAAGGAAGTCTGATTAAGATTATAATAAAATAAGTAGTTTGGAAGATTTGAGTACATATATTAAATAAAAATGGAGACTGCAGCGGTGATTAAAGAGAACCGGGAGAGAGAGCAACTAAGAAGAATTTTCAACCGAACAGTGACGAAGCTAGAAGCTGATATCAAAGTCGAAAATTTCTCGCAAGTGTTGATCGACATTGAATTTCTTAAGAGTAAGGTTGAACGATTAGAAGCTTTAGATAAAATGATACAAGACCTCATGTTAGAAAGCGACAGTTATGATGAAGAATCCTTCAGCATTGAAATTGATACAGCGGACACGTATAAATACAGATGGCACACAATTAACAATCAGATAAAGACAGGTATGTCGTCAAAAATTCCTCTTGATAAGATTGAAGATGTAAAGCCAGCCAGGAATTACAATTTACCTAAGTATGAGCTAAAGAAATTTGATGATAACCTGAAGAACTGGTTAGCTTATTGGGGCCAATTTAAGAAAATTAACGAAGATCACTCATTGTCTGGAGAGGATAAGTATCAGTACCTCCTTCAATCATTAAAAGAAGATAGTAACGCTCGAGTATTGGTGGAAAGTTTCCCTCCGTCTGCTGAAAATTATACAAAGGCTATTGAACAACTCAAGGCAAGATTTGGACGGGAGGATCTTCTCATACAGGTTTATGTTAGGGAATTATTAAGTTTCGTTTTAAACAATAATAAAAAACAAGTATCTATTAGACTATTATATGACAAAATTTCAACATATTTGATGTCTTTAGAAACGTTAGGTATTGTTAAACAGAAATATGAAATAATTTTGTATCCCCTTGTAGAATCAGCAATTCCCGAAACAATTCTTATTGCTTGGAATAGATGTAACACTGATCCATCTCTTGGTAACCAATTGACAAGTTTATTAAATTTTCTTAAAAACGAAGTAGAAACAGAAGAGCGAATTAATTTAGCGAGGTCCGATTTTAATTGTATTGGTACTAATCACACTCTCCACAGGGAACAAATAAGCAGCTTACCAACAGCAGCATCGTTAGTATCAAATATAAAACCAAAGGAGTCAGGTAAAGTAGTCAATGTTATTTGCTGTTTTTGTGACAAAAGAATTCATAGTTCTTTTGAATGTAGTAGAGCTAATAAGATGTCCCTAGAGGATAAAAAGGAGGCAATAAAAAAGAAAGGCTGCTGCTACATATGTCTTAAAAAAGGTCACGTGGCTAATAAATGTAAAAGTTTTGTTAGATGTTTATCATGTGAAAAAAGACACTATGTGATTTTATGTCCGGAAATTCATAAGAAAGAAAAGAGTGGAACATTGGAAAATGTTTCGTTATATGCCAGAACTAATATGACAACTTTGTTACAAACACTCATTGTCAATATCACCTATCAAAGAAAAATCAAGAAGGTGAGAGTTTTGTTAGACAGTGGTTCTCAAAGGTCGTATGTAAAAGCCAAAGTTGTTGAAGAATTAGGATTGCATGAGACTGGCATAGAAATAATAGGTCACACATTATTTGGGGGTGTGGATCAGCCTGCCAAGGTATATAAATGCTTTGATGTTTTGGTAAGTAGCTTAGACAATAGGTTTTCTGTTAGAATCAATGCACTACAGCAGTCTGATTTATGTGGGTACCTGCCAAAAATTAATAATGAAAAAATATTAGAGAAGTTACGGGACTTGAATATTGTGATCAGTGATTTTGATTATACAGATACTGAGATAAGTCTCTTGATTGGGTCGGATTACTTAGGATCCATCATACATAATAAAACGGTTAGTTTAGGTAACAACCTGATGGCTGTTAATACCAAGTTAGGATGGACATCACAGGGACCAATAAAAGTTCAAAGTACAGTCAATACATCAAGCACTACATGCTTTTCAAAAACAAATCTTTCTGATTTGTGGAGTATTGAGTTATTAGGAATTCGAGACCCTTATGAAAATAAGTCTAAAAAGGATACTGAAGTCAAGATTTTGAAAACTTTCAATGATAACATTTCAGTAAATGCACAAGGACGTTATGAAGTCTCATTGTTATGGAAAGAGGGGTGTGCAGGACTCAAGACAAATTATGAAGTTGCATTTAAACGATTGGAATCAACCACAAAAAAGTTAAAATCAACTGGTAACCTAAAAATGTATGATCAAGTTCTTCAAGACTGGAAGAAAAATGATATCATTGAGAGGGTTATAAATGATACAAATACAGGCCACTATTTGCCACATCATAGTGTTATTAAATTATCTAGTATGACAACACGTGTACGTCCAGTATTTGATGCTTCTACAAAGGACAACAATGGATGGACTCTTAACGGTTGTTTAGATAAAGGTATTAATATGATTGAATTGTTACCAAAATTATTAATACAATTTAGAAAAGGTGCTTATGGAGTTATATCTGATATAAAACAAGCACTTTTACAGATATCTATTGCAGAAAAAGTGGTCCGAGAGCTCATGACGCATTTTTCATGAAGTGTTTGATGCATCATGAAACTTTGTTTAAAGATATCAGTCGACTCAATAAGCAGGTATATGACTGTCTGCCTGGCCTACCTGGGTACACCTGGTACTGCGCATACAGTTAAGTCGAAAAAAAATTTGCCCAAAAAAAAGTGTTTGATTCAAATAATAATAATGACTATCCGTTAGCTAAGTTTATAAACAATTAAGAAAAAAAATGGCAGACACTTCTGAAGGGGTTTACATAGGGGCAGACGACCACAAAGTTGTATTTTCAAAAATTCCAAAAAAAGTGTTTGATTCAGTCTGCCATTTTTACAGCGTGTTTATTATGTATAATAAAATATTCTCACAAAAAGGCAGACAGTTTCTCCGGGGGTTACTAATTTAAAAATCTATAAACTTAAAATATAGAAACTTGTAATGAATTAGTTGCATATCGACACAAAAGAGTGGTTTTTGGAATTACGTGTAGTCCATTTTTGTTGAGTGCCACAATAATGTATCATTTGAGTAAGTATTCAGAAAAGTACAGGAAAACTGTTAACAAATTGAAAAAATCTTTTTATGTAGACAATTGTGTTGCAAGTTTTGATAATGTAGATGAAATGAATATATTTATATCGGAATCTAAGGAAAAAATGGCAAAAGGTATGTTTGATCTGCGTGGATGGGTAACAGCACCTCACAGAATATATAGCATTGTTGAAGTTCCTGTGCTTGGGATGACATGGAATACAATTCTAGACAATTTAAGATGTAATGTCAACATAAGTGAAGCAAGATCGGAGAAAATAACGAAAAGGTATGTGATTGCTGTGGCACAACATATATTCGATCCACTGGGACTTGTTTGCCCAGCAACTTTAATACCCAAACTTATTATGCAGAAAATTTGGGAACGTAATATAGATTGGGATCATGAAATACCCGAAGAGTTAGCCCAAGAGTTCAAAATCTGGTTAAGTAAAGCACATTTCATCAATCAATGTCTGTTCCCTAGACATATCTCAATCGCACCTTTAGAAAAATGTCAGACAAGTCTTTATATATTTTGTGATGCCAGCCTAACATCTTTTGCTGCATGTTTGTTTTTAAGAACAAAATTAAACGAACAGGTAAAAGTCCAATTAGTTTTAGCAAAAAATCGGGTAACCCCAGCTAAAAGAAAAATGTCTTTACCAAGTCTAGAACTTATGGGGGCGCTCATTGCAACTCGACTATACAAAGAGGTTTTAGAGTCAAGATTACTAACAAAATGTAAGGAATACAAGGTTTATTTTTGGACAGACTCTGCTGTGGTGCTATCATGGCTAAAAAGACAAGCACATTGGAAACCATTTGTTTCCAATAGAGTGAAAGAAATATGCTCAACAACCAATCGTGACGATTGGTACCATCTACCTGGTGAGTACAATCCATCAGATCTTCCATCACGAGGTTGTGACGCAAAGAAGCTTATGGAAAGTAGATGGTGGGAAGGCCCAGCATGGTTGAAGCTTAATGAGAAGGATTGGCCAAAATCAAACATTATAAATGTCAATGAAGAGATTGTAGAAGCAGAAGTAACCAAAAACGCCAAGATTAATACAAATGTCACAATAGAACCATTCAGTCAAAAATTGACATATTTTTCAAAATATAACCGCATAGTTAGACTTGTGGCATGGATATTACGTATGAATTGTAAAATAAAAATAAAGTTTGACATAAAGGAGTCAGACATAACAAATGATGAATATATCAATGCAGAAAAGACACTAATTAAATTATTACAGAAAGAGAATTTTACAGAAGGGTTTTCGTTACATAATATAAATACAGAAATAGATGCCGATGGGGTGATAAGAGTAAAAACACGTTTAGATTTGAGTAAAGAAGACAAGAATTTTGTAAGGCCAATACTTCTACCAGGAAAAAACGAAATCGTACAGCGGTTAGTGCGACAGAGACATGAAAAGTTAAATCATGGAGGAACTCAGCTCTTACTATCCAACCTCAGAAACAATTTATGGATTTTAAACCTAAGACGTCTTGTTAAAAGCGTTGTTTCTAAATGTGTTATATGTAAGAGATACAAGACAAAACATTACGAGTTTCCTGAAGCACCATTGCCATCAAACAGAGTTGAGGCAAATGCAGCATTCCAGATAACTGGTATAGATCTAGCGGGACCTCTACATCTCCGTGACCAAAGCAAATGTTGGATAGTATTATTTACTTGTGCTACATATAGAGCAGTTCACCTAGAGCTTGTGGAATCTTTATCCACAAATAGTTTCTTGATGGCCTTACGTCGTTTCATAGCTCGAAGGGGCCGCATAAACATTATATATACTGATTGTGGTACGAATTTTCAAGGTTCAGCCAATTTATTAAAAGAGGTTGATTGGGCAAAAGTCGAAGCAGCAACTAGCATAGTTCCACCAGCTATCAAGTGACGTTTTGTACCTCCACGTGCACCCTGGTGGGGAGGATGGTGGGAGCGCCTTATAAAGGTAGTAAAGGAAATGTTAAGAAGAATCTTGGGAAAACAATCCTTAACTTTGATTGAATTATCAACAATAATTTGTGACTGCGAAGCAATCATTAACAGCCGACCATTGACATACGTAGCAACAGCTGATGACTCTCTTAAACCACTTACTCCAATGATGTTTCTACATCCCTTAGATAATAGTGAGATGCCTGATTTAGATCTGATTGATGCAAAAAACATAAATATTCGTTTACAATATCTAAACAAATTACGTGCAGATTTTCGACAACGTTTTAGAAACGAATATATTGCTTTAATTTGTAGTAAAGATAGATGTAAACAAAATTTCCCGAAATTAAACGATATTGTTCTTATTGAAACTGACACTAGTCGGCTATATTGGCCATTAGGTATTATAAAGTAGTTAGTTATAGGTGCTGATGGTAATTGTAGAGTTGCAAAAGTACAAACAGCTACCGGTGAATTGGTTAGAGCTGTACAAAGTCTTTACCCACTGGAATTAACAACAGTTACAAACGAATGGCACAGGGCCAGTCCATCTACTAATAGAAATAAGACAGAGACTAACCCTAACATTAAGGATTATAGTTCCCAGGCGACTTTGAATTCGGATATAATATCATCTGATTTACCTCGAACATCTTCTATTAGTACTAGACATGGTAGAGTAATTAATGTTCCAAGAAGATTCTTAGATTAAGTTGACGAAATGCATTTAGTCAATTAGTTAGGAATGTTTATTTAAAATAATGCTCTCTAATTAACATTAAAAATTGAAGTGGTTGAATTCATCTATATTTGTAATGAATGTGTGAATACACTTAAAATTAACTTAATTCGATTACATGTTATGTTTAAGTATTTTGAATTATATTATATCGACTCTACTATCATATTTTTCTGTGTGGGGAGGATGTTGTAGATTCAAGTAGGTTATTAGTCAGAGAAAAATACTGGCAGCTATTGCCTATGGTTATACAATATATATATATATATATATATACATATATATATATATATATATATATATATATATATATATATATATATATTACTTTTTATTCTGACTTTGATCCATGATGTTTTAAAAAATGAAAAAGTAACGATAGGATGTTTTAATGGACATGAAGAAAAAAATATTATAATTAATAACTGTTTTAACTTGTTGTCTTGGTTATATTGATTAAAGTAATTAACAAAGAAAAGTCTTTAATTGCAACTATCACATATGCTATTACAAGTATTATAAGTATATGTATATGTATATGATGCCATAGTAAAAGTATTTCGGCTTCACAGCCTGCCGTAGAAATTCATAACTTTTTTAGCAATTCCTCTATTGACACAAATGTTTCCCTTTTTTTGGAGCAAATTTACAATTATTATCGTAATGTACCAGTGGTTAAAAGAATTCCTAGAGGTGCGAGGATGCAGCTTGCTAAAGCATTGTCATGCACTATTCAAAATTGTTTCACTAATAGTGAAAATAGTTGGCAAAAATTATTTACTTTCGCGTATTCCCATTTTCATTTTGATAAAACAATAAATAAATCAATTACGTCTCAACTAAAAGAGACATCTTTTCAAAATTTAGATTACCCAATTAATACTGATTTATCTCGACCACGTCCTAAATTTGATTTAAAAAAAGTAGTTGAGTCGAAAGTAATGGATGGCGACTTAAAAAATGCATCCCGTATTTTATTCTCAGACGACATCCTGGCTCCTCGTAATGTCGAAACTCTTGAAAGCCTTCGTCAAAAGCATCCTTCGGTCACACCGTCTCAGGGTTTACTGCTGCCTCCCAAGACTTCTATGCAACCTTTACAAATTTCGGAAAAAGACACTTTAGAAGCAATTATGTCATTTTCGAATGGCTCTGCTGGCGGCATTGACGGAATTACGCCTCAACATCTTAAAGATCTTGTAAGCGCTTCTGCCGGTGACGCCGGCGGAGTACTTCTTAAAGACATTACAAAATTATGTAACTTTATGCTTTCTGGTAATGTTAATCCAAATTTCATTCCATTCTTATATGGGGCAAGATAATGTGCCTTCAAAAAAAAGGATAACGGTATCCGTCCTATTGCCGTTGGTTCCACATTTCGACGCTTAACTTCAAAATTAGCTTACAGGTACATAATCTCTAACCTTAAGACCAAATTTCAGCCTACTCAACTAGCTTTTGGCACTAGAGGTGGCTGTGAGGCGGCGGTACATTCAGTGCGTACATTTTTAACAAACTCTGATGCAGATGTTCTTGTGAAGGTTGACCTAAGGAATGCTTTTAACTCTATCGATAGGGTAACCTTGCTGAAAGAAGTGGCTAACAATACCCCCGAAATTTATCATTACGTTTGGCAATGTTATAGTCAAAATACTAACTTGTTTTACGAAAACCATGTTATCGATTCTGCTGTTGGTGTTCAGCAGGGTGACCCTCTGGGTCCAGCACTTTTCAGTTTGGGAATTCAACCCTTTATTTCAAATTTGAAATCCAAGCTGAATGTCT